TAGTATTTCCAAAAGAATATGTAGAAGAATAAACCAAACTGTTACAAGCTAATATTGTAATGTATGCATATCATACGTGGAATTTACATATATGCAATGTGCAATTTAAGAAACGAATCTTAAATTTTGCTATAAAAAAAAAAAAAAAAAAAAAAGATGACAAGGACACAATTAAAAAACAATGACCTAGGTAGATTATTTAAAAATGTATTTATTTGTTTCCTTTAAGATTTTTAAACTAATATAGTGCATTGATTTCTCATGCAAACCACTAAAATAGTTTGCACTTGTCTTCCATGTAAAACTCTTTTTTCCATATTGCTCCAATACTTCATTTGTGTATAACTTGTATGAATTTTTTTCTATTTTGAAAATATTTTATTTTCAAAATATTCTTCAAAAAAATTTGTTTTTTTTAAATGTTTTGCAGTGAAAATTTTATTTCTTTAACTATAATAATTATTCTCACCAAAAATATTTTATTACTCAAGACAAAAAAATAGTAAACATATTTTTCTTTCATTTTTTTTTTTTTTTTTTATTATCAACATTTCATGAGAGAAGGTGTCCCAGAATTAACTTTTTAAAAGTAATGATTGTTTTATTTAAAAAATCATGATCAACAACAAATTACAGAAAAATAATTACTTTACAAAAGATAAAATACTGATTTTTATTACAGGCCACCATATTTACAAATGGTAGCAATTCAGTTGAGATGTATCAACACAAATTTGTGCCAGTCATCAACTAGTAATACAAGTATCATCTTACCCACCCGAACTGACCTTTGACTCATTCTGACTGATACAAGCCACCCATGATATAAAAATACATTTTCTAATGCTTAAATAAAATTAGAAATTTTGTGGTGTAGTTAAATCAAATAATGATTAAAGTAACTATTTCCCATAAAATTGTTAAATACATAAAATTCTCAACATTAGGATTGTTTTTATTATTAATAGATTTTCTTTAATTTTTATTTGTTTACAATATTGAGTTTTCTGTCAATCAGATAACAGCCATTGTTGATTTTTGCCAATTCAAAGGAAAATTTTAACTTTAATTAGAAGTGTTGTTTTTTTTTTTCACAAAGTTGTGTTCATATGCATTTTGAAAGTTAGAAAAATGATAACCGACTTTTTAAATTTTTAATTGATATTTTTCAATAAGACATTATGATTTTCATTAGAGATACCTATGTATTAAGCAAACATTTATTTAATATGACATTAATTCACAAGAAAATTACAAAACATTAAAAAAGTCACTTATTATATATGTAGATAAATTGCCTAGTGTGAAGCAACAAGCAAATTAGAGTTTCTAAAAGTATAAACTCAAAAAATACATTCGTAGATGGTGGACAATGACAACAAATTGTCAACAAAGTCAAATTTTTATTGATAAATTGTTACAAAAAAATCTAAAATTTAGGAAATGTATAAGAAAATAATAATTCTTGTTGATATTGAAGAATATCAAGTCAAATAGCAACAGTGATTAATAATTAAGATTCTGTCTATTCATTACTGGCCAAAAGTGGGAGAGAATAATAACTAAAGAAAATGTCTTTCAAACTGTTCATAGAATGGTAGCACAAAAAAATGTATAGTAAATAAGAAGGAATTTCTTTATTATTTTACTTCTGGGATTGGTATATACATTTATGTCAACATAAAAATTAAAAAAAAAATAAATTAAAAATATTTAAAGCATATAAAAAAATAAAATTATTCTTTTCTTAATAGACAGAGAAAATAAACATTAAAAGAAATTTAAAAGCAATAAACAAAATAAACAGCAGTTTGACAGCAGTGTACCTGAGCATGTTTTTGTAATATAAGGACACTTCAAAAATGTAAGTGTCATAATAGATAAATCTATTAGAAATAAAAATTCAACTATTGCAAAAAACCCTTACATACACTATTCCAGAGAGCATTAATTTTGTGCATACACCCAAGTAGAGGAGAAACAAAAGAATTACAAATTTCCTCTAATTTTAACAAAGCTGACAACTGATTCCAAAATATTATTGAAGTTAAATATTAATACTGTGGATTTTAAAAATACATGAATTGTATGAAATTTAAAAACCCACTTATGTTGATGGGATCAAAGATGATTTTCATTTAAGTCCAGAGTTCTGCCACTGTAAAAGAGATTTCAAGAAACTAATTTCTTTCATTTTTTTTTTTTTCTTCTTTTATCAAAGAGAGTAAATAATGCCTAAGTTGCTTAAAAAGAAGTGTCCAGCAGCAAGGCCTCTGATCAGGAGGTTTTGAGGAGCATGGAACCACCTCTTAATTGCTGGTGTTCCCAGGTCCACCCTGACCTGGGGTGGTAGCACCTGTTAGGGTCCCAGCTATGGGCAAATAGTTAACTATTATCGGCAATACTTTTTTGAAAAAAATTATTACCAGCAATACAATTTTGAAGGAAAAATATTACCAGAAACAGATTTTTGACAAAACAAAATATTACCAGCAATAAAAAATGTTGTTGGCATTAAATAACCCATTGAGGTTGATATGACGTAAAACGAAATAAATCAAACCAATCTAAACCAAAGAATACATATTCTATTCATACAAATCTATCCTAAAAATGTTGTCGGCATTAAATAACCCACTGAGGTTGATATGCCGTAAAACAAAATAAATCAAACCAAACCAAACCTTAAAAGAAGTCCTTTAAAGTAGAAGAATGGGGAATTGCATTTGAAACATTGTTTAATAAGAATGTCAGGGAAATATTTTAGTACCTCATGAGCATAATGAAACAAAGACAATAAAACACAGATGAAAATTAAAATATAAAGATATTAATAAAGATAAATTTAAAACAGATATAAATGTATATTTGCTGGTAAAGGTATCTTATCATTCTACTGAAAGGTTGAAACCTCTCCGAAAGAAAGAAAGACATCTCTAGGTGCTTTGGGTGAAATGACAAGAAACACAATCAGCAGTCAGAAAGAAAATAGAAGTGGGTCTGATGAAAAAGATAACTCAGGAAGTTTACATACTCAAACTAGTATCTAGTAGAATATATATCCACTAATGTTAATCATAAACTATAGTAATTACTGGTTTAATGAAAAACTTTGAATGTTTACAGCAAGAAAAAGAAATATATAATTAAAGAAATTTTAGAATGAAATCTAATATGAGCATTTTAAAGTCATATATATTTTGAGATAAAGCAAACACTATTCTCTAGCTCTCAAGAGGTTAAACAGGTTTTATTCATTTTGTCAGAAAAGTAACAAAGAAATTGAATAAATACAAAACTAGAAGACTTATTGTACAGACATTCTCCAGACTGCACACTCATTTCAAAAGTCAAAGTTTTCATTGTTAATTCTTCAATTTTTAGAAAACCATGAAAGCTACATCATTCTACAGAGAAGGTTGGAAGTCTACATCTAGCATAAACTTTCAGCTTAAAGTGTTCATTATGAATTGTACTCCTGGTAGCAGAGCATTTAGAAAAACAAATTGGAAAGCATGAGAATTCCAGGTAAACTTTTTCACACTTATCTTTTATAGGTGTAAAAATGAAGACAATGCCAAATGCTTTTGTGTCCTTTTAAAATAAATTTTGTAACAGGCTTGCTACAGTTCTAAACAGATATTTATACTCCTAATTGGTTATGACAAATTTTACTGTGAGCAATTCCTAATAACATTAATGAAAGATGTCCAAAAATAGCAAAGTATTTTTTTTATTAAAAAAAAAAAAAATTTTAATGTAAAATAGAAAATATGAAAATTATTCAGTGGGCTGATTTTCAAATCAGAAAAGTGAAAGCTGATAGTTTTATTATCATTATCATCAGCAGCAGCAAGAGAGTCATAAAACTAATCTGAAGTAATACTAATAATTGCTTTCTTTGACCATATACGTTTTTTTTTTTCTATTTATTTTAATGTAACATTAATATGGTAATAAAAAATATCTTAAAAATACAAAACCTTATCACTCACAATATATTTCTTAAAAGTGCCCAATTCAAATAAATATAGTCATTATAATAGTTGTCAGTTATAAATATAAATTTGTGATAAAAATACAGATTGTTAAAATTTCTCTTTATTTAAAAGTAAAGAAAAATAAGGAATGCATTTAAACTACCCATATTTACTACAAAAATCATAGCTTAACATTTACTGGTGTGAGAAAACATCAACTTTATGTTCCTAGTAATAAGGCAGTTCTCTTGTCAAGATTTAGAAGGATCACCATAAATTTCAAAGTGAATTCAATTGTTATCCTCAAATTTTAAATTATTTTTTTAAATGGTGAAAGTTTCAGTAAATTGATCAGTTGTTATCTTCCTTGATAGATGACATCACAAAATTTCAAATGACAATTTTCATTTTTAATTTACACTTGGAAAAAAAGAAGTAACAGCAAAGTGACATCAGAACAAAAAAAAAAACCCAACAAATTGATAATTTGAACAAAATAAAACAAAAATATTTGAAGGAAATAAAAAACAAGCAAAGTACAAAAACACTGAAGAAAAAATGATGAACAGATTTTTAAAAAAATGTTTTAAATCATTAAACAGGCTTTTGAAGTTTTGAAGTGGGTAAAGAATGGAAAGAAACAAAACTGTTAGAGAAAATAGCAAGGGAGAGAATAGAAAGAAATGAAAAAAGTGCCAAGGAAGGAGAAATGGAAGAGAGTGAGAGAGAAAATAAAGAATCCAGTTTGTGAGGGAGGAAATATAAGGGGAGGGGAAATACAAGGGTAAAAGTGGCAATGCAAACAATTTTTTTTATCTAAAGCAATTTCAATCATTGCTCTGATTTACACACATGCATATATAAGAACTCAATTTTTCCAAGCAATATATATATAAATTTCATATATCATGTAATAGTCTAATAACAATTTATCCAGAACAATACACTTTTACACATCCCAAGGAAAAGAAAAAAGTCTTGCTATAAGCAGTAGGCATCACGTCATAATTCATTCTTTATTTAAGCATTGCCAATTTCCAATTTGGGTGCATCTTCTTGAGAAGCAGTAAGGCCAAGTGCTCTGGCTTCCAATTCTTCTTGTTCTTCATCATGTCCATTATCTTCTTCACCATCACTTGGGACTGGAGTTGTAGCACGAGATGAAGCAGGTGAAGGTGGCTCAGATGGAGGTCTTGGGTACAAAAGTTTCTTGCCCTGTTCAAATGAGATAGAGTCAAATGTGAAATTGTGAAGGAAAAAAAAAACAACAAAAAAACAAAAAAAAAGCTGTAAATGAAATTGGGGGTGCATGTGATAAAATCTACACATAGCGCTATATACAGTATATTTCTGCATATAAGGCGAACTTTAAATAAGACAAGGTAAAAAAAATGTAGCAAATTTTGATGAATTCATCCTATACCTGTAGTATAATATAACTGTTTAGTTTTTATATAAAGATGATGTTATTTGAAATGTTACAATAAACAAAATAACAAAACTGATTCTAAATCATGTTTTTCCTATACAAGTCCCCTGGAAAACCATGGTTTTGTTTATATTTCGTCATGTGATCTGTTGCAAATACTGACTCTTCTTCTGGTGTACTAATGGCCATTTACTTATACTTCATTGACAATCATAAAATACCGCTAATAACAGTACGATAATGTATGATAATAGTACATTCCATTGCTGTGAACATAATTACAACTCTATGTTTACATTTTCTCAGCTGATCTTGAATGGATACAAGTTGATTTCATTGATATGGAATTATTCTTTGCATAGGCAATTTATTATGAAGTTATGCCAGTAGAAATGGTTTTATTACTTTTATTATCAGTTTATTTGATAATATGAATCTTTTTATGTGTTATTGATTATCACACCAAAGGTGAGGTTAGCCTACTGACAAACATCACTCAGAATTTAAGGTTTCTTTTTTAGAATTGTAGTATAAGATGACCCCCCCCCAATTTTTAAGGGTTATTTTGGGGATTTAAAGGTCGTCTTATATGCAGAAATATGTGTTAATTAAAATGCTTTCAATGGCTGAATAGAATTAAAACTTAGAGAGAAATTCTAAGTGTATGCACATACCGTGATGCTGTCTTCATCAAATATTTCAGGGTGTGTTTTATGAAGTGCCATTCTACGTGCCTTTACATAATACTGGAAGAAAAATTAAGTTAAAAGGATGAAAAGTAAAACAATAATCAAAAAATTAATGTTAATTCTAAAAACAATATAAAAACTAAAGTAATTGTTTTTCTTAACATCTTTTTATATTCTAAATAGTTTTTAATAAACAATTTCAAATTGAAAAAGATTAAGAAAGAATCTTAGAAAAAGTTACTGAATAAATTTTTTTTTCAGCAAAGTTACAGATAGCTAAAGATGGCTAACAGCATGGAAAAATGGAATTAGCAAACAGAATTCTAATTTTGACTGAGACAGTTTGTATTCACTTTACATTCTCCCAGATGAGTTAAATAGCAAAGTTAGACTTGATTCATTAGCCTTGGATGGCAACCAGTCTAGAATTTAAAACTGAAGAAAGCAACAGGAATCTATTTCCATATATTTTCCAAGAACTGTCATGGCAATCCAGCATTTATAAATATTAAAAGAAAAAGGATTCTGTGGATAGGTGTGATCACTTACATCCTGAATGAACATGATAGCTAAGGAGGAGGAGGATTATGATGGCAACAACAACAGTAACATGCCCTAATATTGTTCTGCTTGTAATCCTAACATGGTTTTTAATAATTCTGGATAATGGAAGCAGATTACAAGTGTTGATTGCAAGATTAAAAAGCCATAGAACAATATAATTTGCTGTGGCATATCACTTAATGATTCTAAACATCATTTATCATAAAAAGTTGAAAACATCTCACCTAATTATTAATAATAACTCAAAACATCAAAAATATCCACCCTTATATGTAAAAACAATGTTATTTATGAATTCTCATGTATTCTAGGAGAGTAGTGAGAAATGAATCCAATAGACAAAGCTGGAATTTGAATTGCCAAATCCACTTTACATGATGATAACAGTTATGCTATCTGCACATATTACAACTATTAACCTAAGGCATATATTAGTAGATAATGCCAAAATACCATACAGCACTCACTGCAAGTAAAAATACAAACAACCCTAATGAAATAAAATATTTTACACCACATACAGTTGGTATTTTAAAGTGCATACAAAATATTTAATATGCATACAAGATAAAAATACTACTTATAAAATGTCTGACATATTCATTTCCACTGCTGTCAAGCTCTGTGAAACAATCCTATGCATAATGTCATTTATACAATACATGTAAATTTAAATTAGAACTGCTGTGCTAAAAAAAAAAAAAAAAAAAATTTAAAAAAGATGTAACAAAATCTTGTCAACCATACTGACAATGTCTAGTTTTTGATAATGACTGAAACATTCAAAAGTACTGAACAAAAACATGAATTTTGGACATTTTATTAGGTCAAATATATATATATATATATATATATATATATATATATATATATTGTTACGTCCGGGGTTTCGTTGGGACTACGATAGCCGGGACGCAACGAGAAAATAAAAAAATTATAAGTAAGAGATCCCAAGGTTCGATATAAAAAAAAAGAAAAGAACGTTGGGAGGGGAATTCTCCAATTCGGACGTCGGTAAACGCAGAGAGAAAATGAACAATTCGCAGACACAGAACAACAGAAGACAACATGAGAATATATAATACAAAGATTTTATTTCTAGAATACACAGAGTGTGAATGTAAGAAAAAGAAAACTAAATAATACAAGGGATGGGGAGATAAGTTACCAATTATTAAACAGATACTAATGCGGCGAAATTCATATGAATACAGAAATAGCAGATTTTAAGATAGGGAAAAACATGCAGAAACTTACATATGATTGGAATCGACGTCGATTGACAATTATCGGGGTACAATTTGTTCAAAGGATATTTATACACTTCTTTGAAAGTAACGGATGGGATTGACAATGTTGATCTACAATCTTGCGTCGGTCCTTTGGTTTTTGGTGGCATCTAATTCTTCTAGTGGCGAATAGGTAAGACGGGTTTTTGGTGACGTCCGACTCCTCTGATAGCCAGCAACTGTGTGGTTGTTGTTACCTCAACACGTGCGAAACGAAAACTGCTATATTTTGAGCCACATGTTGGCCCCCAAAAAAAGGTATGTGTCATTCACGGACCCTGTTAATATCATCCACAGTTATCTGTCAAACAGCGTTATTCTTGGCCAGCGACTATGGAACTGGTTAACATCATTCACACCTGTCAAACAGTGTTTGTTTGGCCTATGTGTCAGGGACCAGGTAGGAAATGGGAGTAGAAGAGAAGGTTCTTTTCCGAGAACTGGCCCTGACTCATCTGGTTATAAAAACAATATATATCTCACAATCTGCATATTTAAGAAATAAAGAAGTTAAGATTCATATGTTTCGTCGCAAATACAAAAGGTACTGAAAATGTACTTATAAAATCTGAGGTGAGGGTACAAATATGGGGTTAACGTAACAATATATATATATATATCTCTGCAGCAATCGCTCATCCTCATTTAAACATGGTCTATTTAACATAGCGGTCTATTGAATCTTTCAGGTGGAAATTACACATTTCCTTTCCAAACTTTTCTTTAGCAACTGTAATAAATTCTTAAGACAATCACAGTTGATAATCAAAAAAAGAAAGACTTTAATAAAAAAAACTTTACAACATCAATTGCATGTCATTACGCAATAATGGATGATTACAGGCTTCAGAAAGAATTCAAGTGAGGAACAATGAAATATGGTAGACTTACAATTCCAAGATTTTTCCAATCAAGCAGTTCACTAAGACGTTCTGTTCGGTTTCTTTGGATAATTCTTTGTCGTCTTGACAAACAACTAAAGTCATACAAAATCTATAAAAAAAAAAAAAAAAAAAAAAAAAAGAGAGAGTGCAAAAACAAATCATGTACAAAATGTCTTAATTCAGAGTGGTATGTATTTTGTTGCTACAATGGATTATGGATAAAGTATAAACATGATGCCTACATCGATGACAGCACTTGCAACTTTTTAAAAGATCTGAACCCTAATTGGTACAAAGCTCTTTCTTTGGCAGGTAAGTTTATATACCATGCAACACACATGGTTTATAAAATTCTTAATGCTTCACTTTAATTTTAAAAGATCTTTCTATCTCATGATAAATAGCAATATTTCATTTTCTATTGATTATACACACTATATTTAAGTATATATATAGGCAAAGATTGTTTACTGTAAACCATTGAATCTATTTGTTTTCAGTATTGTAAATATACTTTTCACAAAGTAGTTGCTTAAATTATAACAATAACTAGTTAATAAGATCCTAAATACGCTAAAAGTACATCAGTGTTTTCAAACTGATTTTTGGTACAAATATTTTGATATATTTGGTGGGATAGCAAATGCAATGTTAGATGCTAGCATTACTGACTGGAATAAAACACTTCAAATACATTATAGTCAACCTATATTATTATAAAACCTACAATACTCAAGTGGTGTTAATATTAACATATATGCACACAAAATAAATGAAAATATAAAGATATAATTAATCATTTGGGAGGGAAAAAATGGTCTGCAAAAAAATTCCTTCTGATTTTTCTATATCTGTGCAACTTGTTACTTACTTGAGTCAGTTGTTGCACCGATTCCTCAGGATTTTTGTAGCGTCTATCTATAACATAGATGCCATATGATTTGGGATCCACAACATGTTCTTGCATAAAACAACCAAAGCCTGAGAGATTTGTTGTTATACTTGGAATACCCATGACTGTACACTCAGCTGGAACAGACAAAAAAAAAAAAAAAAAAAAAAAAGAAAAAGGTATTATGTGTAATTTATCAGAAATAAAGAATAAATTCTCTTTAGGATTCTTAAAGAAATAAAAAGTATCAAGATCCTGTTCTATATGTAGACAGTACATCTTTCAAATCAAAAGGTATATCAAATACTGTTGTACTATTTTCCAGCAGTCTTTCCATTTGTTATGGTAAACTAATTTCAAAATCACTAAGCATCATTGCTTATAGAAACAAATTTCAACATTAAAGAATACAATAGAAATTATCTTTTTAATATGTCAGGTTATTATGCATATTCATTATGCAGATAGTTTTATTTTGGGAAGTTGGGGGTCAAGCTGAGAACTTTTCAATACTTTGCCATACTTATGAATAAGATATGTCATGTCTGTTTATATATGAATGTTACATGTATTGTTTTACTTACCTGGAGTATAACCCCAGGGTTCATAATAAGATGGAAACACACCAAGATGGCACCCTCTGACAAAGTCTTCATAGTCTAAACCAAATAGTGGGTTTGTAGAATTCAAAAATTCTGGATGAAAGATTATCTGAAAGAATATTTAAAAAATGTAATATATTTCACAAGAAACCAGAGAGATGTATGTAGTAAACACATGAAAATGATGTTTCTTCTAATGTTGGAAAATACCAAGTGAGGAAGTGTTTTTTTTTTTTTATTATACACTATCAGCCTTTTGTGCTTTTACTTGTATTCCTATTACAAGAGTAATAAAGAAATTGGAAAAGGGGATGTTTTTTATAAACAGCTACTGTGATATGCTGCAAGGAAAATGGCATCATCAAAAGTTTACTGCAGTTCAAATCTAATAAAGCATGAGTGAAAACATTTATATTTGGATAAAAGATGAAAGGACATTATACTGTGGTTTATATTAATGTTTGTTATTGAGATCAAAAGTAACAATTTTTCTATAATTATATAGGTTATTTCCTATAATTTCCATTTTTAATAATTTTTTTCAAATTGTTAAAAGAATAAATAATCTGTTATTATTGAAGGTAAGAGTGGCAGATGGAAACAGAAAGCTTGTATAAATGGATGGCAGAACAGGGACTGGGGGTATAGAAAGGAGACAAACATTGTTAATAGCTACAAAGGGTAGGAACTTGTAGAGAACCATGATTGCCTGCATCCTGAAGGACACAGACCATAAAAGAAGATTTTACCAATTAGCAAGTAGTGAATGTAATTTTTAACTTGCAGATTTTCAGCTAAATTAGTGCTAACAATAAAACAAGCATAAAGTTTTTTTTTGTTACCAGTTGCAATTGTAGAAAAACAAGCCTCTTTTGAGATTTTTGACTGAGACAAATTACTATCAAAGCAAAAGACTATATTTTTTTCAATTTTATACCTTCCCAGCAGCTTCCTTTCTCTCATTTGGTAAGTATAGAAAATACTACAACAATAATTTTACTTACAAAATAAACAACTGAATAGACTTAACAAGAGAATAGGATTTATTTAAGTGCTTTCAGATGCTGTAAATTCAAAAAATAAAATAAATTTTTTTTTTAAGGATGATTAGACAAACTATAATTTTTTTTTTGTTTTGGACAGAAAGTTTTAGGTATCATATTTTTCTTCAGCCTTTTTTTCTGATCTAACTTTAAAATAAGTGCTATTTATTACAGCATTTCTTATCAAGTTATTCTCAAAATCAAAGAGTATTCTCATGCAGTCTTGACAAGTATTAAGTATTTTCAAGTTCTACCATCAGTAATTATTCATGTCTCCAATGTATACTTGTTGAGTGCTGTCTTGAATCCTGTAAGAATATGCTCCAAGGATCCTTATTCCCTGTAGGTTACAAATGTTGTCAGGAATTCTGTATTGAAAACCAGCAGTTCATATGTTGCATGAACCAACATTCCAGTTAAGGTCAGTTGCATTTTGCCTGAAGATGATTTCATGACAGCTGACAGTTAATCAGTGATTCCAATGTGGGTCAAGTTTCCTGCCTTGGTTGGTGGATTACTTCCACTGTCTGCCCTTTTCAACTATAGTTTCATGCTTTCTGCAAATTGGAACTGCTATTTCCATTTTTGTTTTCTCTAGTCAATGCCTTTCTAGTCATGTTAGTCTGCTACACTCAGCTTGTTCCTCTGCCTGTACTATATTTGATTTATACTCAGTTTATACAGTGGGCTGCATGGCTTGAACTGCTTTGTAGTCTCTAAGTATGAAATTAAACAATACATTTGCTGATAGATTAAATTTTACCACTCTTTTATAGAGGGTCACACCTCTAACCATCACCTTAGACACTAAACTCTTTTTCCATTACCTTGATTCTGGTCATTAATACCAGGTATGTTTGGAATGGCAGGTTGAACAAGATTATCCACATTTGGTATCTGTCTAGAAGATCACATTCATCTATAGTTCCTAGGTTATAGATGTTTACTTATTTCAAACATTTGGTGTCTTTGAAAATTTCTTGGGCCAAGACATCTTAAGCTCCTTCGATTTGTAGCACTGAATGCTAATGACCTAAGCCTTTTGACAATTCTTCCTGCACCATTGGGATCTTTTTCCCTACAATTTTAAAGTGAGCTGTAGTGGGCTTTTTACTGACAAGCTATAAGTATTTGTTCTTCTTGGGTTTGAAATGACATTAGAATATTTAGCAACTTCAAATTTTTTTGATATTGCAATTAGCTTTTATGAGGATTTCCATTGTGTTGATGAAAAGGAAGATGTAATGTTGCATATTGCTATGGGAGCACATGTGCCAGTTATTAGCAGTCAGTCATGTTGTTGGCTATTGTGAAACTAATTTACAAAGCATTGTAGTATGCTGCAATTAGCTGTTGTATATATTCTGGGATGTAGAAGGAATTTGGAGCCTATTATATCAGTCCATGCAAAGTTATATGCATTTTGGAGATTTAACCAAAACAGAAAGATGTCCTTATTTGAATGTTCTGTCTAATTTGTATTCCATACATCAATGTATAATCTATGATTTTTGAAGATTTGGAAATGAGGGTCTTTTCCACAAATATATTCATGAGATTTTAGTCCTGACTGTATAGATGAGAAAATGGAGGTAAATTTTTATTTAACTTTGTAAAGATGGAAGAAAAACATGTGGTTGCTTAGGGAAAGAAAAGAGAGAGAGACACACACACAAAACTAATATTAACAATGGAAATAAGTTTTCAGCTGCAACTACTTGGAAGGAAGAGCAATTAGTGAAAGTTCTTTTACTTACTCTTTTCTTAGTCAACCATCATAGTATGCCAATGAAAAGAAATTTTGTTAGGTTACCTGGCAAGAGGACATAGTGTCAAGAGAAATGGATTCATACTTTTTCCAGTGTCATTAGTGTGAAGTGAATATAAAATAGGCTAGCTAGAATTTGAACTGTTTACAGATTCTATGCAGATAATGGTTCTGCCAACTTCACATGTATTACTTATTCTTTAAAATCTTCTATGATATTATCATAATTTATATAAAGTTATACAATAATACAAACTCAAATAACAGTATTTTTGTTCTTTAATCTCATCTTTGCTTGTTGCAGATATTATTGACATATGTTTCAACCAAGTACCTGTTGGCCATCTTCCATTATTTTTGGCTGATTATTGGGTTATTTTTGTTCCCATGATGCCATAGTATATTGAATTTAACTGGTTTAGAAATTGAACTCACAACCATTAAATAACTACAACACTATAAATACCAATAACAACTACATTTTGGTTTGTAACACTTTTGATAATTTTATTTATGATATTTGAAATAAAACTTTGTGTCTGTAACCAAAGATGAGAACAAAAGTCCAAATAAATCAAAGAACATTGACATTTCCTCATCTCAAAAACAAGAAATAAGATTATTAAGAGTGTCACAAAGCAGCCATGATAACCAAATGTTAAAAAGATCTAACATGCTTAAAAATTTTCCATTGATATCTTTGATGACAGTGGTGTTGTAGATATAGGCATTGGTTAATTAAGTGTTGCAGCCATCTTGTGTTCAATTTGTGAACCAAGTAGTGAAATCCAGATAGTTTCAATTTTTTCTTCTTAACCAGACTAACAAACAATCAGCTTGTACAAAATATCTCCTATCAGCCAAATAATAAGGGACATCTAAAGATGTGTTTACGATTACAAAAAGGTGTGGAGAATAGTTCAAAATACTCAAAGTATTTTAAAAGTATCATAAAATTTCAACTGGGCAGACAAAACTATTTACAATCAATTGTTGAATACATTCAGTAAATTCAATAAGCATGAGGATAAAATGTCTAATTTTGACCCAAGAAGAAACTGTTGAAATTTTTTTATTTTTTTAAAAATTGTGTTAACATCTAGTGTTATTTAGAAAAGTATGAAAACCAATGATTAAAACACTTTTCAGTTATAGTTTTTGCATTATCTGTTTGGATGAGAAAGGCCAAAAATTACCTTTACTCTGTCATCTTTGTGGTTGAAAAGCTTACACCGACGAATGGAATTCAAAACTTGATCATGTCCATCATCTATAACATTGTGAGTACAAACAGGTGGAAGCTCACGGCGCTAAAAACAAAAATACAAGATGATTAAACCAAAATACAGTTAAGTAAAGCAGCACAATTATTGTTACATCATTGGAAGAAGTGTTTCATAAGCAAATTAAATAACACTCCTCTACAACTACCATAAAGTCAGTGATAATTAAAAGTTCAAGGTCACTTTTTTCACAAGTTAAAATATCCAACTGGGAAACTAATATTCAGCACTTGAAGCAAGTAACAATATTTTGAAATGGCAACGCATCAATGCTCTGGTCTTATAATTTTTGGTAAATTAGAAAGCAATAACAAAAAATAAAATTACTATTTTGTCTTAGTAATAATATTCAAAAATTACAATTATTGGAAATAATTGGAATCTAGTCTTATTGTTAGTGTTCATTATGATGTAAACTTATAAATCAAATTATGCAATATGTTTGTTTCTTTCATAATCTTTATAAAACATCCCTGTACATAAAGAAATTCACTGGTGATTGCATGTTATACATGCAAATCTATCTCTTAAAATTTTTTTGTTTTTCTTTTTTAAAATTAATATTCCTTGACATGTGGCTGCTTTTATCAGCTGAAACCTTTTTTATTTAACTTAAAATATTCCTATATGCGTAACTGTGGAAGACAAAGTGCAGATTTTTTCTACTGTAAAACCAAGAGAAACCACTAGAGTGCATTGACATTTGCTACAATTACTGCCAAGAAGATTGCACAAAATTCTTGGATTTTTTCCTTTTAAAAATTTCTGCAAATATCAGTTAACTTTTTCCAAGATGACCAGATTTCTTAAGAAATCTGATATCTGCATAAATTTAAAAAAAAAAAAAAAAAAAATGAAAGGTTTGATTCAAGAAAAAATAATCATACATTCTGTAATCATGTCAATAATTTTAGTAATATTGGATAGAGTCTTGAGAAGCTATTCAAGCACATGAGCAAAACAAATGGATAATGCAATTTAGCTTAAAGACAGCACAATGAAAACAAAGAGTTTATACTCTGATGAAACTAACAATATTTGCGATTCTTGTTTGTAATTATGAATTGACTTTTGGTGAGAGGAGCTAATGTTTTTATTTTTGTACTTATTTGGTGGTGTACTTGAACAGTGTTACCAGAAGTTTATCAATAAAAATGTTACTTTTATAATCGACAATGTATCTATTTGCAATATTCACAAAAAAATAAAATAAGAGCAACTTCTTAAAAACCACAAAATATCTATTTTTTTTACAATTGTAAAAAAATTGTTAAAAAAATTATTTCATTGTTCTTCTTCAATTTCTCTTTCTGAACACATAAAATATTCTTGAAGCTGCCACTAATGAAGCAAAAGCAAAAAATATCAGCATATAACTTTGCTCAGATTAAAACCAAAGAAGATCTACACAAAAAGCAATTGACTGAAAGATTTATAACAAAAAATCAGTCATAAATGTTCTTACTTGATTTTTGTACATTTTTATAAGAAAAATAAAATTATTTTGAAAGTACGGAATGACAATTGAGAGATATTTCATTTGAAAAATACTGTAGTATTTCATGTAGTTTTCAGATTTATATTATTCTTTGTTAATAATTAACAAGTTTAAAAAAGTTGTTAATATTTAAGTAATTTTATAATTGTACTGGTTATATTTTTTGCATGAGTAATCAAAACATTTTATCTGTATAATTAACTATTGTTACATGTAACAGAGAATTTAACTTTAAAATCATTAAAAGTAAATATATTCAAAGAAATCTAAAATGAAACAAAAGAAATAAAAAGTAATATATTAACAAACTGTTCTCACTACTTATTAATGGGATATTCCGTTCTTATAACACAAAGCATGTTTACATGTCAAGTAATAATGAAACATTCTAGTGTTAAGTAGGGGGCAGATAGATGGATGTATAGATAGATATATATTACTTCAATTCTACATTGGTATTGTGACAGGTTGGCATATATATATATAGTTTTATATTTGAAATAGAAACAATGACAGTGATGTGTTGCATATTATTGAATGTTTGAATATTTAAGCAAAGAAATGATTCAAATTGGTAGTCAAAAGACAATCTCACCTGGGCTGCATAAATACATCTCTTTAATTTGACAATATCGTCTTCCAATAAAATATCATTTCCAGTGGGAATATTACCCCTGAAAGGAAAAGTCAAACCCAGTAAATAAACCATTGTCTAGTTTGAGTGAAAGTAGAAATAAAATAAACTAATAGTAAAATAATTGTGGCAATTTTTGTATTCAAAAACTTTAACAATGAACTAATACTAATTTCAAGTTATAACATTAACAATCAGATTTTTTAGCTAGTTATCTTATTCTTATTTTTCTTTTTTTCAAGTTGTTGAACAGTGGAAATTGAATAGTTCTAAAAAAAAAAAAAAACAAAAAACATTGCATAATTTATTAACATCAATAATGTGATAGCAGTATGTATATGTATATTTCTTTTGTAATAGTAAAAGGGTAATTATAATATGATCACCAAATTATTTAATTTCATTTTTCTGCTAATAAAAGTCTCTTGGCACCAGCTATAAAAAAAAAACAGAAGAGATACAGCATTAATTATATTAATTCCAAAGGTGGTCAAAAAAAAAAAAAAAAAAAAAAAAAGACTGTCAGAAACTTTTAGGTTTTCAATAAGCGGAAGGGAAGAAAATACTTTTTGTGTATTAAACAAACCCATGTTTTTTATATCTTGCCTATAAAATAGATGCATTTTTGATCAAAATTACTTGAGATAATTTTATATAAAGAGTGATTGAAAAATTACTGCACAAATTCTATAATGAACTTAATGAGAGATTTTCAAAAAATTCTCATTGTGTTCACTTATAACATTATACAATAAAATGATATCTAATGACTTTCATTAAACAACAATTTTTTGAAAAATAAAGAAAACTACAAGCTCACTTTGAAAAGTTATTAAATATATATATAAACAATTTTATTCACATGGGTAGTCATTGTTAATAGATAACTTGAACATTATAAATGCATAGCTATAAATATTCAGCTTGTTCTTGGCTGAATTGTTAATAATCAATAGACATGAAACAAAGTCTAAATTATAATATTAAAATTTTAAATTTCTATGATGTTAATTAAATGAGTTTTACAATTGTACTATACAAAGTGCTTAATATTTAAATTAAGACAGTGTCATAAACAGACACAAAATGCAATAGTCAAAAGGAAACAAATCATAGTATCAAAATATAAACATTATCAAAGTCACTATTATTTTGTTTGTTGATTCTTTTCAATTCCAATACTAAATTAATAATGCTTTATACAACATTCTAGCAGTCTAGTATATCATTATCATATCAGATTATCAGTTTTGTTTTATTTTATTGGACAGAAGGACGAAAACGATTTACCTCATGCATGTTTCTAAAATGCGTCGTCCAATTTGACTCACAACATGGTTGCATGTCTCTTGTAACTGTTTAGAAATAGCCTGACCCCGAAGGGAATCCACATTGTAGTTGTTGGTTCGGGTTGGAAAAATGAGGAATGCTACAACTGTCATGTCACTGTTATTTTGCTGTGAATAAGATACAGTGATAAAATGGAAAACAGTAAAGCAATGAAATCGATCCAGGTAGGAACAAATGGCTTTATTGCCTTATAAAAAATTAAGGAGCAAACAGGATTGGATTGCTGTTTTTTTTTTGTTTGTTTGTTCTTAGTACATTTTACAGATAGATAAAAACAGAAAGAAAAAGACTTGTTTGTATTTCTTTGAAGCTAAGAATATATTTTCAAATTGAATCAGTAAGGAGATAAAATAGAGTAAAATATAGAATCATGCAAATGAATAAATATAAACAGTAGTTGCAGTTGAGCCTAAATGGGTGGACAGCAATAAAAATAAGTTAGAGTCTGAATATGTACCTCAAAATTTTACCAATTTAGCATTTGCTATCATGTGATCAAATTCAATTTAATCTTCAGTTCACTATTATCTTGGATATTTGCAATATACAGCACAACAAAATAAGCATGTCTTCTGCTCATTAAACTGGGATAAGTACATTGTGGTAGCAATTAATGTTGCTTTAAATGAAATTGTTGAATGGATGCCTTTATGTATTAGAAACAATGTAACAAAGCATGTGTCATGTAGCTGTAACTGTGTTAAGGTTGATTTTTTTTTATTTGCTTAGAAAGCAAACTAACAGAGAAATCAATGGTAACAGTAAATATTAATTTGAATTACCTACAACAACAACAAAAAAAAGAAAAAGACAATTATGAATTCTAATAGCTACAAAAACTCATGAAATGTGGTGGGGGATAAAAAAAAAAAAATTAAACTTTGTACCCTTATATACACAGTACTCAACAAAGAGAATAATCAATTGGAAAAAGTTTTTATTTCTCATATGATGCTTACAATTTACAGAACAAGAATAACATGGCTACTTTGGTATGATTGATGAGAATAACTGATGTTGGAGTAGTGGTCAATTACTGAATTTAGCATCAATTATTATTTAATGATTTCAAAATTTAATGAAAAGAATTAAATACAATTAATTCAAGTACTTGTAAAACCCACAATATCTAAGTGGTACAATACTTTAAGTTTTGTAAAATTTTACATTTGCAGTTTGATAGAATTAGTAAGAATCAAAGCAAATTGTAATTTGTCTACCATTTTACAGGTTTAATGGATAAATAATTTAAATTTTTACCTTCAAATGATGGTTAAGTCGTGCCAAGGACTCAATAAACATGTCAGCACCTTTATTTGAGAACTCATAACGGCCAGCAATAAATAAATAGAGAGTCTTCTCCAAATCAAAATCATAATGGCTGTTAAAAAAAAAAAATTAAAAAAAATCATCATTCACACACACACATTTTGGTTTACAATGGTTTCATTGTTTAAAATAGCAAGAATGTCTACTCTAGGATGTGTACTCACTAAATATAATGTTTATAGTAATAAGCAATAATGTTGGATTGAAAAATAATTATTTTATATTTCAGGTATGAAGATAAAGTTAGCAGTTATAAATTTCAAAAAGATTGCAATGAGAGGTGTATATATTCGTCCAATTGAACCTTTGCTTGATCATCACGGTTTCCTATAGCTTAATTGGTAAGGTACATTTGCTTTAAAAGGGCTTTTCCTGATAGAAAAGGTTCAATTCTTGTTGGGAGGTACATTTTTTTTCATAGGACTATTTGATCTGCAGACCAGTTGACAGTGGTTTCACTGTTTAAAATAAAAGGGATGTGTAGTCAAACATGTACTCCCTAAATATAACATTTATAGTAATAGGAAATATATTACATATTATATATATATATATATATATATATATATATATATATATGGTTGCATGGATAGTAGTTTGTAACCCCAGGTTTGATGATTGCTAAAACCCGGGGTTACAAACTAATATCCATGCAACTGCATATATTAGCTCTATTGCGGACATTGAGCACTTTCCACTAAATACTGTGCATGCACATATAATTACTATAAATCTTACATTTAGCGATCAAATAGTCTTATGAAAAAAAAACATTGGAAAAATTCCATAGCTACAACAGAAAAAATTTAAAATAATTACAGAGCGTGTCCGTGTGTTTTTAAAAAATCAACAAAATACAGATTTTATCACAGTTACAATAAGTTTGTCTTTGTAATTTACTCCTGAAGATGATCTTGGAAAAGATTGAAAGTACTCTGGTTAACAAAAATTATGGTGCCTTCCTTGATGAATTTCATCTTAATATCAAGAAACTGATTAGAGAACTGGAAATGATCAGTATAAAAATAAGTTAAAAGTTGAAATTAAAGTTAATTGGTTCCAGATGTTATGACTTGAGTCAAAATGACTATACTATAAACCACAAATAAGCACTCATCACTGCCTATTACAGCATTTATGATATGTACATACAGTATTCTGAATAAAATAATTAATTTCTACCTTATATTCCAGCGATATAGCTTTATGCTTAGTGTTAGCAATGGGAATTTTCTTTTCTTTGGAGCCATGGGCAAAAATGTATTCTAAATCACAATTGAAATGTAATTGAAAGAACGTCAACGGCAGAGCACAGATGTAAACAAGTCTGAATTCAAAATTGGTGTTGGAGTGGAAAACAATGCCTGAGTGCTGCTTGTTGGCAGGAATTTGAAATAAGAACATCTGCTGAACATACTTTATTATGCTAATTTATATAGTATACATAATATTATTTTAAAATTTATTTAAATATGATTTTATATGGGTTTGTTATTTTAGTGTCCTGCATTTCTGCTATTTTTAATGGCCGACATAAACCAGATGACCTAAAGCAAGTTTTATTTTTTTTATATAATATTTTTAAAAAAAAAACCAATGTATCTTCGAAAATGACTTAAATCAACAGTATCACTGTGTGTGTATATGTGCGTGTATATTTTGGTCACATCATTTGAAAATATGATCAACATAAATATAAGTCATGTACTATATATTTCCTTTATGCATTTCTTTACCAGTTAATAATGAGCTTAACAACCTTGACTATACTGACCCAACCAATCATTTACTTACTGGGTGGACCATAAAAAAAAAGTCTCTTCCAATCTTTACTGTTATAAGATCCCAAATTAAGTCATACTTTAACAACATCTTTTTTCTGGTAAGTTACACATAAAAGAAAAAAAAAAATAGAGAGGAGAAAGTTGCTTTCACCCATAAAAGTGACCCCGGATGAAGTCGTTAATTTTTTCTTTATATCTTGCATGTAGGTTTTGGAATTCATGGATGGCACTGAATTTCTTCACGTTCAATCCATTTGGTGTGATGACATCTGAAAGAAAGAAATTCAGTTAATTAGAATCATTGAAAAGAAAAAAGAAATTCAATTAAAATAAAAAAATGAGCAATTTGTAAAATAATGTAAATTAAATAAAAAAAAATAAAAAATCTAAAAAAATTTGAGAATTGTTCTCACCAAAATCCAATACTACTCTTAAAACCAAATTCATCAGCTAAATATACTAGACTAATTTGTGATGAAAAAGCTTTCATTTTAGCTTTAATTGGAAGCTAAAGGATTTAAAATTTACTATTTCCAGTCAGCAAAATACTCTGTGGTATTTCAAATAGAAATTATATTGGTCAGAATTGATTTCTTTTTCAGTAGAAAAAAAAAAAAAAAAAAAAAAAAAAGAGTAAAAATGGCCAATTCTTGGTTTTAAAATACCTTTTAAAAAAATAAAGTATCTATTTGTGAAACATTATTTGAAGAAAATTAGCAAATTTAAAGTTAAATTAATCTGATTTGAAACAAATATTACAGCATAAAATATTGTATACAAGCATTTTTTTAACCATGGGGTCTCATTTTACTGACATGATTTAATGACAGCCGAATGACTGCTGAACATATTCATAGTTAAGTATAGTGAAGCAGATGATAAAGTTTATATGAGGGTTTTTTTTTTCTGTAAGTGGGGACAACTCTTAAATCATGTGACATTTTAATGATAATGTTGAGTTTGTACATCCATATTTAGAAATTCTACAGGTATTTACAGATATTAAAATAAATTTAAATTCTTTTAAAAATATTTGGGGTTGTCAGATCGTAAAAAGCTTTACCATATATGATCAGTAAATATATTTTTTTTACTTAATAACAATATTTCCTAAGAGTTATTACATTGAAACTGAATTTTAAAAGATTTAAAAACTTTATAACTTATTAAATTTAAAACTGCATAAAATGAAAACAAATCTTGTAAAAATTCATTTTTCATTCAAAAATTTCTTTCTTTAGACAATATTGTCTTTAATATATATTATTCATAAAACCAATTAAAAGCTTCTCTAATTAAATAATGTCTTAGTTTTATTGTGATTTTTATTTTTCAATTCAGAACAGATTTTTAGTAAGATGGGCTCAGATTTAAATTTAAAAAAAAAAATTTACTAGTTTCTAATAAAAATAATTTAAAAAATAATTTCATTCATTTGTGAATAATTTCTGAAAACTTAAATAAATCTGACAATTATTTGATTTTTGCAAGAATTTCCAAATTAATGTATCTGTCACTGCAAAAAAAAAAAAAAGAAGCTAAAATTTGCTGTACTAAAAGTTAGTACAATCACTGACATAAGAAAAACAAGTTTTTTTTTAATCAAAATTTCAAATTTTCTAAAAATGAGTAAAAAATTTAATAAAATATTCAAAAGATACCTTGATCCTTCTGCTTGATAATAACAAAGATTTTAATGCTAAAACTGTGTTTTCATTACATTTTCATCACGGTAAGCTGATTTTTTAGTAATTTTGTGGAGGTACCTAGTTAAATACTTAAAAAGTCATTAACCACAAAGTAAATCTTGTTTCAAGAGACCTGTTTCTCAAGGATGTACTACCCCTCATTTACGGTTGGTCAGATAGAGTGTTATGGTTAAGCCCTGATGCCTTGTGGTATATTAGGGGAACTTGACAATTTTTTGTCTACTTACACAAATTGAACATTGTGTCACATATTGTCTGTATAAAAGTGGGAGGGAAGTGACTAAATACATTTACTTTTCAGTAAGTCATTTATAGAAGTTTATTCTGCTTAGTAATTTCTTTTGTAACATGTGTACTAGTCTATGTACCTGGTGCTCGACATAAAAGATGTTCACTCTCAAGTCCAGTGATTTCAGACACTGTAGAAAAGACATGGGCACAATGCACAGCTGATCGTTCCATGCAATAACGGTGATAGATTTGACGGTCTCCTGCCTCTTTATCCACACTGAACTGGCATGAAAGCAAAACAAAAAAAAATATTTTGAGAAAGAATAAAAAACAAATATCTCAAATGTAATTGAGAATTTTTTTCATAATAATGCCTACAATAAGAAAATTATCACCAGGATATAAAATGAAATCATAAATTACAGACGTGAACATCAAAATAATTATAAAATTAACTATATGTTAATTAATGAATTATTAATTACCTCCAAGAAAATTTTTCAGAATTACAAAAGTGAGATTTCTAGAATTCACAATTTATTATGGACAACTATACATGAATTATTTTGAAAGGAGAAACCTCATGGTGGAATTTAAACACACACGTCTTTTTTATGGAGACATAATATTTTCTTTGCATTTCAGTCACATTTCATGTCTCAAAGAAAAAAAAAAGACCAGATATTAAAATAAATAATAAAAAAAATCAGACAATAAAATGAACAAAAAGATCTAATTACATACTAGAATGCTTTTCAAACTTATTTTAATCCTTAATATCTGTGATTTTCTTCACCCAACTCCAAATATGTTATCTCAAAGCAAATCAAAGTATAAGGAGTTTAATCCACATTGGATGCCCTTCTACTTTTAGTATTTGACTAAGTTAAGGGCATCTTAGAGTGATTTCACATGGAACAGTGTTCAGTAAACTAGCTGCAAAACATAACAGCTAGAATAGTGAGTTCAATGCTAACTTAGCACATTAAATATTTGGCCTCACTAAGCTAAGTTTAGTAGATAAACACATGTAGATATGAATTTACATCTATATCCATAAATGCAAAGAGACACATGTAGGTATTTATCGTCATAGGGATTGTGATATGTTATCACTTGTATGGACTGTAACAATGGAGAAATAATACTAGTTCTAACATATTTTTATTGTATTTCCAACTAATGAATAAACATACTTTTCATATAATTAACTGTACACAGACACATAATAACTAAATATGCAGAGAAAACAGAAAAAAAATTGAATTAATAAAAATAAATCCCATTTATCCATTTTAATGGGTGAAAAAGTATTCATACAATGCAAATTTCAGTTTTAAAAATGTTTAAATTGCTTTAATACTCTAGATTATTCAAGTGGAATATTCCAGAATGTTTCAATAATGTTATCAGTTGTTATTTTTAACCTAAAAAAAATACAAACAAAACATTCTGTAATTGATATTTGTGCAAGGTTTTAATAATGGCAAGAGGCAAAGAATTGACAAATTTGCAAAGCTTTGGAAAGAAGGTAAAAGTTACAGGAAAATCTTAGATAATCTGAATATTAGATTTACTGCCATTATTCATTTCATTCACTGCAAAGTATAAAAATCTCAAAACTGTTGAAAACCAAAGGAGAACAGCTGTTCCACAAAAGATCTTTGAGGAAATTAATGCACCAAATTAAAAATAAAATCCAATGGTTACTTGTCAAAAGTTGCAGGATGATTTGCTGGAATCTGTGTCACTAAACAGACAATAAGCAATGAAATTCATAGAAACAATATAAAATATGCTGCCCTCAAAAAACTCTACTGCTATTGAAAAGACACAGAGATGCCAGATTGAAGTTCGTTGGTGAACATAAGGATAAGGAAAAATTGTATTGGGAAAGAGTATTATGGACAGACAAAACCAAAATGGAGTTGTTTGGATGCAATTCTAGAAATCACGTATGGAGGAAATATGGCAATGCCTTCAAACAAAAGAACACAATTCCAACAGTGAAATTTGGTGGTGACAGCATCATAACTTGGGGATGTTTTTCGGCAAAAGGTACTGGCAACATATCAGAAAAATTGTAGAAGCATAAAATATTTTGGAAGCAAATTTAATGATTTTGGTTGAAAATCTCGAATTTCCTCTTGATTGGATCTTCCAAAAAGATAATGATCCTAAGCACACTGCAAAATCTATGAAGAAATGGCCAAGTCAGTCCCCAGATTTAAACCCAATCGATTTGAAAGCTCCAACAAACATCCTGGATCTGAAGGCCATATGCAAAGAAGAATGGAACAAAATACCAACTAAAATTTGCAAATCATTGAGAACTAGAAGAAGAGGTTGGTTGCTACTTTATTTCACCACTTCCGACTAAATTTACAACTTTTGATGCATCAGTTCCAAATCACAAGATTTTTTTTGTTTTTTTTAGGAAAAGTAGGTGGGTAGCAAGTTTATTGACCCAAAATAAACACATTTCAGTTTATCATACAGAAAGCAATTTTTATTAATAGTATAGACATGATCAAAAAAAAAAAAAGAAAAAAAAAAAGGCCTTTTTTCTTTTAAATAAAAAAAATTAATTGCAACGTGCTAAACCATGAAAACTGCTGATCATTAGTCAAATCATTTCTGCAGTTTTTTCAATTTATCAATTTGTGCCAAATGTCTCCTAACTGCTGCATGGACCTACCCCTAATTTTTGATCCCAACGTCCAAGTTTTTGTTTTTAAATTAGCCTTTATAGTTTCGCTCAATCATTCATTCTCGAATGTTGACTTCTGACCACAGATTCATCTAGATTACCAGACATATATTATTTTTTTATTACCAACAACACACTGCCCATTCTGAAGCTGATGCTAGTGTTTGAATAAGGAAAAAAAAAAAGAAAAAAAAAAAGAAAGAAGAGACACAAAAATTTAAAATGATTTACAGATTTACACAAACAGAAGAGAACAATGAAAAAAAAAAAAAAAAGAAGAAATGGTTGTACTAATACAACATTCATTCACATATACTGACATCCAAGCATCTTGAGTAAAAATCAATTTATTTTACTTTTAATAGATTATAAAACAAAACATCAAGATTTTATGAGTATTGAACTTACATGCTTTAAATTATTGTAGAAATCTGTTTTTGCTGCACAAAGGTAACGTCCCAACAGTGTAGCATGGGTGGTAAAAATGGTGGTGCAGTCTACTTGACGCGTCATTGTGAAAATTAAACCAACACCAGCCAGCCATTCATGGAAGTGAGAGATTACAATTGGAGTGCAGGGGATGTTGGGAAGAGCTTTTCGAAACTGAAAAAAAAGAAGAAAAAAAAAAAAGAAAAATTTGATAAAAAGAGAATGTAAACCAAGTATCATAACAGCCTCATATGCCATGAAAAGGAAATATCTACAAATTAAGAACTTAAAAATATTTTAGCCCAATAAAAGTAATATTACAGATATAACAATCAATAAAAGGATACTTCATTGTCGTATAATAGTAAGTTTATTTTACAGATCATTACTATTGAATAAGGCAATGAGATGTAAAACCAACTTTTTTTGTTTTATGCAATGTATTTTGACTTAATTTTTTTGTTATAGCTATTAGCTTAGCTTTGAGACAAGCCACAAGCAGGAGATGCTCAGTGAGGATTGAATACCTTATTCAATAGCAATGATCTGTAGAACCAGCTTACTAACTTCAATGCTGACCTAGTTATGTTATATATTTTGTTCAGCATTCTACACAGTTTGAAGTTCTACTATGCTTGAAAATTTTGAATTAGTCTACATCAAGCCACTTTAATTCTTACTGCTACACATTTCAGGTTTGCGAATGTGTTATGATGTTGATTTGGGGTTAATAAAGACAATCGTCAAATAACATGTAACAATAAAAAGGGGTTTATTCGGTTGGTAAGTAGGTACAGAAATCGCCTGAGTAGTCTATAACTAGCTCAGCCAAGAACTTCTCCGACTGTCTGTCTTTCGACATGCCACTATTTAACGTCTTTGTTTGTAGACAAGTTCATCTTCAAGAGGGGTGGTAGGTTTCCTACACAACAGAATGTCATAAAAATTCTTGATTGCTGCACATTTCCTGTGAAGTATAATGGTTTTAATGAACAGAACTACAAATAGAAATTTTCGCAAAAAGACTACACATTTTAGCTACCCCTGGCTTTCATTGTACATGGCACAGAACACAATGATGTTAACATTTTTTCAGTTCATCTAGTTTAGCATTCAGTTCTTTTTTCAATTTTGATATCTATGGATTGTCCGTTACAGATCTTCACATGGCATTGGACTTTGTGATAAGTGTGAAGTGACAAAGGTTCTCCAGGCAAGCCACTTGTTTTCTTATAGTTTTTGTTTTTAAATCACAGTAAATAAGACTAACACAAAAATTTTGAAGACCAAAGCATGAAAAATATGAAATTCAGCATCTCTTCAGTGTTCTTTACTATTCTGGATTATCTACACTTGCAAGGATTTCATCCTCACTTTTGGACATATCATCTTCACTACTTGTTGAAGATCATGAACTTAGGGAAGGACAAAGGTCTCTGGCATGGCAGGGTGCTCCATCCACCAAGACTGATTGCAAATTAACAAGTCCAGTAATTCATCTTCCGAAAGTTGTTGTACACCGGTTGTGTGAGGCCTTTGCCCACACAGAGTTTCCCACTTTATACATGTTGTGGCAGACATTGTTGGGGGCTAAATCAATTCCTTTAAGCTGAACTTTGTATCTGTAGATTTGATTTGATTGATAGTGCAGTCAGTGGTAATGTGTTGTCTTTGGTGGTTACATTGTACCAGTAGATGGCCTCTTCAATACTACATTTCATCCTGGCCACAATCCTCTTGTGACTTCTAGGACACCACTCTGTTATTCCATTTCCTGCCATGACATGTGCACATCAGAACTGCAAATGTCCATCCCATCCATGGGCAAAAGGCCTGAAACTCCCTGCTGTATCTCACATGTTAGTCCCCTCTGACAGAACAGATTCCAGCTGATGTACGATACTCAGTGAGTCTTGACAGTGTAATGGCCACCACACAGACAAACATGATGGGCCACAATTTGTTAGTGTCAGGTAATGACTGCTATGGTAGTGAATGATATCCATGCTGAGCTGGTGACAAGTACTGTTCATTCCCAGTCTACCCATTTTTCCAATGGAGTGATGAAGTATCTATTGTTGTTTACTCCACACAGGTCCCAATGGCCAATTTTACCATGGCCTTTTTCACAGAAGGACAAACTATCTTCACAAAATATGTGTTATGTCATACTCCTGGATACCTACTGCGTTGATGTACTTTAATTGGGACTCATGGTGTCAAGGGAAGTAGCACAGGTTCAGCCCCTAAATTCTAGTTTGACGTGATCAGCATCACATAGGCAGACACCTTATATTCTTGTACCATATCTGTCTATATCTCTGAGATGAGGTACTTGCATTATTTGGACCGTTATCCTCATCTTCATTGCCATAGTCACACTGTTTTTGCCGTTGTATACGCCGGTCTTCTTAAGGTGATTGGAGTTTCAAACCAAACTCTTTATTTCGTCCACCAGGGTAAATTGTTCTAGTTGCATGTGACATCTGGAAGAGGCATGGCAGGTGGAACTGGAACAATCTACCCTGGTGGATGAAATAAAAGGCTCAGTTTGAAATTCCAATCACCTGAAGAAGGCCAGAGTGCACAACAGCCAAAACATTGTGAATATGGCAATGAAGATGAAGATAACAGTTTGAATAATGTAAATAATGCAAATATTCTTGGACCTGTTCCTTCATTGGGATCAACCTTTTTCTCACTGCTTTGGTACATGCCCTAGCTTTGCCTGTGAGGGTGTCAGACAATCAGTGGTACACACATAAGGAATCAGTTTTTATGTGCAGATTCTTTACCTGCCACTGGGGGGCCAAACTAAAGCCTTTGATTGCAGTATCCAGTTCAGACAAGTTGATATGCTGCACATCGTTTGTTGGCCAAAGCCAGCAGGTGTCCTCCAATGTTGTTCCATCTTTTTCCAGCACCACTCTTGTCATACTTAGTGGGGGTTATTCCTAAGTGACAAAGGTTTTCCAGGCAAGCAACTCATTTTTCTTGTAGTTTTTGTTTTCAAATCACAATCAGTGAGACTAACACAACAATTTTGCACACCAAAGCATGACAACATAACTCTTGGCATTTTTTCAGCATTTTTTACTAGTCTTGTAACTAACAGGGAAAAATCCCAGATGTAACTGGTGTTGACAAACATGTCCACATGTGACTGTACTCACACACATTTGCTACAGTCCAGCTGCTTCTTCTTGCCTTTTTTTCTTCGCAGCCTCAAGGTATTGGTTGTATGCTGTTCTGGCATTGGAAGCACTGAAGAGAAGAGCCTTAATCATGAGAATATTCCCAGCATCTCCAACTGTAGCCAAATAGTCTGTGATAATGCACTGCAACCAGAGTCTGTCGTTTCATATTATCAGTGGAAATTTCCTTATTGGCCGAGAAACCTCTCTCCACTGAGGCTTTGTCCATGAGAAACTATCAGCAATCTGCGAACAACTTTCCACAGTTTTTGATATTCCTTGTTGCTAGACAAAGTGTACAGAGTCTTCATGCTTGCTGATATTCTCGAAAGCAATATTTCCAGCAGTCTCCTTCTCGTACACTTTGTACTGACTGATGATGTCATCACAATCAGATTTGATGACTTCTTTTTTTTTTCCATCATGTGAGAAAAACATGTATTTAGACTGTCTTCTGTGGCAGATTTTTTTTTTTCACAAATGGATCCAGGGTTCAGCCATGCAAGTGACCTTACAAGAAGGTATCTTAGGGGAGACTTTACCAGAAGTTTCTCAATGATCGTGATGAACACTGCATGCAGAATTGCAACAAAGACAAAGATCTTTTGTCGATACATTTTCTTTTTTGGATAAATTTTGCATAGCCATATCTGTCAGAAATCCACATCTGATCTTTTTGCATGTTTGGGTTTGACAAAATTCTTTCAAATTCATTCAGTATGGAAAATGTAATTATCTTTTTAGTGTGCTCTTCCTTTACAAATCTTAACAGTATCATGATCATGCTCAAAAGATCATCTGCAAAGAAAGAAAGCAACCGTTTATCACTGATATTTTATCAGAAACGATTCAATGTCTTTTGAAAGAGACACAAAAATCTGAAGTTTCACTAGAAATAAAACGTCATTCACATTTGACAGCACTACAGAGAAAGACTTGGTCTGGGGACATTTTTCCTTTCTTTTTAAATTAAATTAAAAAATTTGACCACATCTGGCCAAATGTTTAAGAGTCATTCAAATGTTTGTACATTTTCTAGTCATCTATGGCAGAAATACAAAAGACAGAGTTGCCAGACTGAACTTTTAAAACAAAGCAATATTAATAGAAGCCAAATAAGTTTTAATATATTTCAGCATTTTTGCAAAATATTACTAACGACTAAAAAAAAAAAAAAAAAAAAAGATCTGAGATTTCTCATTTTGACTTCCTTGAATTGAAAGAAAAAGAAATAAAAGAAAAAAAGAGGATGTGTGGCCAGCATAATTTAGAAATTCCAAGACTTTTCAAGGAGCTTTTGGGCTATTGCTGTTTTCCCAGGACTTTTCAGGCCTTGCAAAAAGGCCCTGTCAATTTTCCAGGACCTGTATGAACCCTGTTAGTAATACCAATGAATACAATATATATCTATAGGAAAGCAGCTGAATTATTTTCATACTACCAAGATTTTTCTTCTTTAAAGCAACCATGGTTTATAAAAATGACTGTCACATTGCAAAAAAAGTTTAATAAAATATAGACAATGAAGTACCTGAAAACTACATTCAACATTTATGAAGAATAATAATTCCCTAAAATAATAATTGAAATACAAAAGAAAATTAGGAATGTAAATTGAAAATAATTGAAAATAACACATGTTGCACAAAATGCTATAATTTTCATATCAAAACTGCAATTGCTACAAAAAATAAATTGTGGAGAAGGCATTGATTGAAATGTTATAAGCTGTCAGTGATGTGAAAGAATTATGCCCAAATAAAATTTTAAAAAATTAGTAATTAATAGATGCAGAAAAAAAAGAGAAATATCACACAATGGAGTTTTAAAGCGATTGACAACTGTAGTACTTTATGTTGTCTGCATTCTCCATAAAAATGAAATGTGAATGCCAAAAAGTTACTTGGCAAATAGACAGATCCTGATACTGTGTAAAGCAAGTCTTCTCCCAACCAGAAACAATGAATGTCTGAAAGAACA